CAACAAATGAGTAAATAAATTGTAATACATTTTATTTTAAATCCTAACGCATAATTCTGAACAACAGTAAAACTTTATTATCCAAACAGGGAGAAATTTCTTTTTCTTTTTTTCTTTCTTTTTTCACATGCACGAGATTAAAAATTCATACGAACAGGCAAGATACCGGTATTAACCGTAACGTACCTGATTCCATCAAAATCTGTTTTGAAGGATTTCTGCACATTCAGGACACCTCCATATTGAAAAAGTCGGGGGATTTTTATAGATTCAGGACAGTAAGCCTAGCGGTACTGCAGGATTTTGATGGATTCAGGATACCTCCATATTGAGCAGTTGGGGGACTTTGATGGATTCAGGATCTCAACAGTTTAACTCTTTGGCTATGTTTGGTGTGTATGAGGTATATGTACTACACCAGTTGGTGGATTCTAATGGACTCATTGGTAGATTCTAATGGACTCAGGACACAAAAAAAAAATTGCACAACAAAATTGGTGGATTTTGGTGGATTCAGGATACTTTCCAGTAAAAGTGCTCACTAAGAAATTATGCAAAAAGGCATGACATTAAATTAAAAATCAGACAAATAAATTAGGCCCTTGATTGACAAAACCTTGTTTCTTTGGGCTGACAAGCCGAAGTCTGCGCAAATGTATCCCAGTAGGCATCAGGGCAATCCCACGGTTACTCACGTTACATTTTTGTAACATGAATAACCAATTTTAAGCGTCTTGTTTATCATACATAACACATTTTTCTGGATGTCATCTTTGGTGCTTAGGTAGGTCTAGTTCTACTCTATCTACCATGGGGATAACAGTTATTGAACCTTTTCAGTAAGGTAATTACAGCCCAAGGAAACTCAAAAATACATCAAAAATGTAACATGAGTAACCGTGGAATTGCCCATCACTAATAATTCACATGTGGACCATCACAACTCGCTAAAAAAAGATGCCGGTATAACCCAGTAAATCCTTTCAGTACCGGTATTAGATGATTCATTCATTAATGATTGGAATGTTTCTTATGGCACACCGATCATGTAACAGCTGGCAACATATTTAAAATAATCTGGTGCAAAAATATGTGATCAGACAAACAGAATTATTACGATTGTCCTTGACGATATTCAAAACCGAATCTAGACTCATTTACAGCAGTGTTTACATGTTTCATAAACTGTGTACATGTACATTATACATATATTTATGCAATGTTTATGCCAACAGAAAATTGTGGTATACACAAAAACTTCTGACATGTTTTAATAGGTATTAAAGGGAATGTACATCATTGGCTTTTGCTGTAATTTTCAGAAATGAACTTTTTAAGGGGTTACTATATAATAGACCAAATATTGTTACACTGACATGTTTGAAGTTTTGTGTTCGAAAATGCTGGAAAAACCAAGAAAAACAAAAGTGTTCAAGTAGTCTGGTTCCCTGACTTCACTTAAGATAAAAGGGATCAATTTATAGATGCCGGAAAATTGTAAGGCAAGGGAACCAGTCTAGCTGGCCTGCACCCATTCATGAACATGTAACCAACAGCAAACAAAATTTGGACTGAAAAAAAAAAATATGGTAAATTTGGAGCAGTAGTTGAAAAATAGTTAGGTTTTTTTCAACAGTGGTCGGCCGACCACCGTTGGAAATTTATACAAAAATACCATTAAATTTGTGTTTAAAGTAATGTGCATACATGCACCTTTTTACAAAGTTCCTGCATACCGGTACATAGGCCTACATGTGTACATGTGATGTATGATAAAAATGTTTCTCCCCGAGACTGATCCTCACTTTACTGATTGGGACTTTCTTACTGATAGTGTAAAAGGGGGAGTTTTCACAATTAAAACTTGAAATATTTTTAATTGTTTATGATATTTATATTATAGGCCTATTGGTGACAAAAACATGTTTTTATTTATGTAGTTATGCCAAATTGTCAATATCATACATTTTTTGCTTTTTGCTTATTTATTAACCCTAACCTCCCCAACTTCATCAAAATCCATCCCTCCATTTTGGTGGATTTTGGGGGACTTGGTCCTACAGGCCTGGTTTGACTAAATATTGTTGGAGTATGATGGACTTGGGCCTGGAGGCCTAAAACAAAGCATGCATTGGAAGCAGTACGACTGATGAATTTTCCCGGACTTGGTCCAGTACGTACCGGTAGTAAAAGACAGGGGGAGTTAGGGTTAATGTACAACATGTACAAGATACGACACAAATTCTGTGTTTAATAATTATTCAAGGATTTCTAGGAACTATCTCTCCAAGCAAATAGGAAATTAGACTATAAAGCACAGCACGAGTACATCTGAGTGGCTCTCACATGTTTGGATTCATTGTCCAATTTTCCCTTTTTTATTTGTTTTGCACTCAATCAAGGACCAGTGCAAAGTTCTCTCTGACTTCACAAACGGTGAATCTCAAAAATGTGAACTTTTGACTCCCCAACCCAAGGTTATGTCTATACCAACATTACACTGTTTTGTGATCTGCACTGCTGTGGCTGTCACCCTATGTGTGTGTGTAGCAATTTGTGACATATTGCGGTGTAACATGAGGATATGGAGGACTTTAAATTCTTGTTTGTATTCTGTGCATTTCACATAGAGCTACATTAAATTACTAGAGCGCTAACTCGTCATTCTGCGCGCGGAGACACTTTGAAGCCGTCCTGGGCGCAGACATTTTGAATTCATGTGCGTGTTTGTAGAACATAATGAAATTAGATAGATTGAATTTTGAAAGTGTACTCTACATGCAACGCGCAAGTAGAACATACGCAAACAACTTAAGTGCGTCATTGATGCTTCAAAAAAACGTGACGGCAAGAAGCATCTGCAGCGAATACGCGCACGCGTTGCGCTGTTTGCGTAGAGCAAAATGACACGCTCATTGGCTTATCGGCTTCGATAACGCACGGGTATGGAATACAAATGCAGATGCAAATAGCCGTACAAAAGCCGTACAAAATTTCTAGGTCTCCATAGGTTTGTGCACAAACATGGATGCGCCCAGCAGGCATTACTTTGTACACAAAGTTAGCGCTCTAGTAATTTAATATAGCTCTATGGCATTTCATCACTGTCTATGTCTATATCAGTGAATATCTGAAATAGTCTGTTAAAAGAAGCACAGTTACTATTCCCCTGCCATGTCTTTAACTAACACAGGCTGGTCATCAACAGTTAGATCATTTTTCAAGCAGGCACTGTGACTAGTCAAATTCAGTCAACAGACAAAAGCAGGCAACTGGTAGGCACAAGCTGTCTTATCAAGAACCTACAGTCGAACACAGCTGTATCAAGTTACATTTAACAGTCACAGCCAGTCAATCCTGCTTTATGCAGGCAGGGAGCTCTTGTTAACCATTAAATACGGATTTTGACTGAAAGGAAAACTTTGCACAGAATGAACATTGTACACTGTGTGTTTGCATAGGAGGGCTAATGTACAATAAGGCACAATACTGGTACTTGTTTGCACCGGTGCATTATGTTAAAGGTACATATTATTTGCTTTTGCTGTAATTTTCAGATAAGGATGGACTTGGGGGTAAACTTATTTTATAGCAAATATTGTTAGTTACACTGACCTGTTAAAAGGTTTGTGTTCATAGATGAACAAATGCTGTTCTTGTAGTCTGGTTTCCTGACCCTACTTCATTAACAATGGAGCAATTTATAGACGTTGGGGAATTGTCGGGTCAGGGAGCCAGACTAGCTGGTTTGTAACCATTCACGGATATGTAACCAATTGCAAGCAAAATGTGGACTAACTAAATTTGGTAAAATGGGGGCAGTGTTTGAAAAAAGTCAGTTTCGTTTTCCAACAATGGTCGGCTGACCATCGTTGGGTAGTTTTTGTTTATTTGCAAATATTGTTACTTTCAAAACCATACAGGTAAAGTATGCCTGCAAAAACCATCCTCAATCACTGATGCAAGAAAAATATTTCAAAAATGCAGACATGTAATCTACAGTCTCAAAGGAAATACACATGTTAAAAGGACTTGGTATTCAGTATTCATACTTTTGTCATTGTCTGACCCAATACTCCAATTTAGCCAATTCCCAACATGTAGAATGAATATTCATGACATTCCAACATGTAGAATGAATATTCATAACATCTCAACATTCAGGATGAATATTCATGACATCTCAACATTCAGAATGAATATTCATGACATCCCAACATGTAGAATGAATATTCATGACATCCCAACATTCAGAACGAATATTCATGACATCCCAATATGTAGAATGAATATTCATGACATCAAATCCATTGTAACCTCGCATGTTTAGTGGCAATACAGCAAGCGGAAAGTAATATGCATGTATGGATATGATGCGCAGGCAAAAATATCACATAACGTGGTCGATAGCTCAACTGTAGTAGTACAAACGTCTTATCATTTTTAGCTGCAGGATAGCAACTCAACAAATTATCCTGTCTCTCCGTTAGTTAGTTAGTTAGTTAGTTAGTTAGTTAGTAACAAACGTTGACATTGTCCACTGCTTCTACATATGTGATGCGATCAAGCTACATATGTAAATGAGTCATTTGTCAGGAACTTTCATTTGGAGATTCAGGCCAAAATAGGGCCACTTCATCACCTATTGTTGTTCTGACTTCCACAATATTTTAACTATGTGAAAACCATATGAAGGGTGAATCTTTTCAAAATGTCAGACATGTACCAGTCTAGCATTAGGCTTCAAATTGAAATCACTTGGCTTCACTCAGGTACAAACTGTTGAAGACTGAAGAAACATTTCCTTTAAAAACTGAATTGAGACCTCAAACTTGATTGGTGACATACTGAGGACCGTGTCTGTGCCTCATGAAAATGTTGGAGAATTTTGTTGGCTTAAGAAAGTTGGACTGATTTTGTTTTTGCATGATTTTCTGCATTCAAGGTCTCAGTCTGGATTACGTCCCAACATTATCATGGAGAAACAACAGTAGACTTACACTTTAGCGTTTGAGGGTGGTTCCCATGCTAGTTCCCCTGTCCTCAGATTGCCGTACATCGGCCGCTGGGTCTTGGGCTCGATTATCTCCACCCATTCTACCCTAGAGTCAGACAAAAGACAACAAAAAGGAAAACACGCTAGGTTGGGATCACATTGTTTACATTCTCATTAAAAATACTTCACAATTATATCTGAGTGTTATCATGCTCTGGTGTTTCAGAGGCAACAGAGGCGTGGGTTCGAGCCCGAGCCCGGACACTTGTGCCCTTAAGCAAGGCACTTAACCATTATTGCTTTGTCCTTCGGATGGGACGTAAAGCCGTAGGTCCCGTGTGTTCTATAACACACGTTAAAGAACCCAGTACACTTATCGCTAAGAGAAGGGGTTCGCCCCGGTGTTTCTGGCAGTGCGATTATCTTCAGCCATGAAGTCTGCACTGGTAAGGAAGAAGAAGAGGAAGTACCAGTAGGCCTAATTGTTCAGCAATTGGCGAGGATAACCCACGAAAGTATCTTGACTTATTTCCAGTGGGGTCTCTTGGGGGCCTGGCAGAAGATGTGGAACTGGAAGGAAATTAATTTTAGATGTGGGAGGAAAACCCCAGAATGATATTCTAGGGAAAACCCACTGAATCAGGCAGGGACTGAAAACCCAATCCACATATTGGACCAGGCAGGAATCGAACCCGGGTCACAGCGGTGGAAGGTGAGCAAAGTACCGCTACGCCAACCTGATCCCCCAGCCTAAAGTACACAGGAACTCTTGTTATAAAAGCCTTGCCACTTATCTGTTAAGATATTTCCTGTAAGATAAAACAGTGTACATATTAAATTGAAAGTGAATGTAGAGAACACTGTACATTGTGGTTCAATGAACTTCAATTGGAGAAAATGTAGGGCTTAGTTTCATGTAGCACAGAATATTGTGTAAATAAACAGTCCGTACATGTAGGAACCTGATGCCACTTTGTAGGGTGATTGACCTATCGCGTTAGAATCGCGTCAACGCAGCTTATGAAATATTGTCCAATTACATGATATACAAATAGATGCGGAACACGCAAAATCTTAGACAAACAAAACCTAGTGCACAACAATTCCATAGGGTTGTCTAAGGGGCGTGGCTAACTTGCAAACGATGATAGGTCAATTGCAGTTGTATGCAAATTTAATAGTGAGTACTGAAAAAAATTCAGCAGTTTGAACAAAATAAAGTAAGTAAAACTGTATTAAAAACAGGATATTGTTCCCGTAAAACATGTAAAAACATTTTGGTTTTTATTCAGGAGCATTTCAAAGGTGTTTATCTGAATCTGAATGGCATAGTTGGCAAAACATTGATCAGAAAACATCAACCATTTGTCCCATGCAAGCACCAACTTGTTTGGAAAGAATGTTGCAACCTGACGCTGCTTTTTCTTCATGCATGTATCATCTCAATGAGGGTCAGTCGTTGCCAAAATGATAAGACATAAAACTGGGACTGAAAAACATTTCCAATTTTGTTAGGAAATACTTAGAAAATTTTCGTGACTCTCCACAGACTTTGTACACAACCGCTGAAATAGCATCAAGTTGCAACATTCTTTCCACTTGTTTTTTAAAGATATTTTAACTGTAAACAAAACTAAAACTAATTGCAAGCAAGCTCTCAAGATACACAGAGCCCTATGTTTTTAAAATCATCCAAACTTAATTCGCAAAAGTCAGTTGTGACAGCTATGGAGGAAATAACAATGGGAACTTCACGCTACGACTTCCCGTCAAAAATACACAGGGCCTGAATAATGTTCGACCTACAAAATCTGCGTGTTATTTATTGTGCACCCACATACGCAGGAAATTCATGAACACACAAGGCCAACACAAATCGATCTTTTCTCTTGGAAATGTACAAAACCAGAGACCAAAAAGACCCCGTAGAATGTACCAAAATGAATTCTACTAACCTCTCTGTCATCTTGGCGGGCTACAGGAAAATAGCCCCTGAAAAACGCGGCAGGAAAACTGCAATACTAACTCAGGAAGTAGTCGGGAATGCATTGCCACTGTCCGCCATGTTGTTTAATTATGTTAATAAGTTGTGACGTAGCACCACTCCGGCTGACACACCGTGCACCAGTCTTGGATGACTAATAAAAAAAATCATGTTTCTTCGAATTATGAGTGTTACTATTTTAAGACGCTGTGAGTAATCTAGTCTCAGTTCCGATTTTCAACTTTCAGGAGGAGAGGGGGCGTGCCGGGAAACGCTGCATTTCCAGGCACCCTCACCCAGCAGCGTAGCAAGGGGGAACCGGGGGGGGGGGCACATGCCCCCACAAATTTCCTGTGCCCCCCAGGTGCCCCTTCCCTTAACCCAACAGCTTTTGTTGTGAATAAATTGTTAAGAAAAAAAAGCACCCTTTAGCGTCAGAAGAGGTTCAGACACCCCCACCACCACTACCACCACCACCCACTGGAAAGTTGGAGAAAATGTTGTTGTTTGGTCCGCCCTTGGTCCCCTCATAACATGCTGGTACCCCCCCCCCCCCCAACCCCGTCTATGCCACTGCCCTCCTTACTTCTTCCCTCATGACCTGATAACAGTTCTAAACGCAATTCTTCGGAAGTTCAAAAACTCATTGAGATTTCTATTCTAAACATTTCTGAAAAATCTCCTGACTGAATTAAGAAGAAGCGTGGTCTAAAATTCCGCCCCAATTTCGTCTAGGCATGGAGGAAGGCCGGACTCCTCCATGGTCTAGGCCGCGCTTTTTTGGTTTTCCAGAAAAAAAAAGTTTTCTTCGAGTTGTTATTTTGTGCACGTTTGCCGCATAAAAAATCAATGTGTGATAATATTACTCTCTGAATTCCAAAGAGTGAAATTAAGACTAGACGTTTTAGAGTGAAAATCACTCTCATTTTAGATTGAAAAACTCTGGGGGAAAAAAAAACCACTTCAGTCGAAGCTCGAGTAAAAACTTGATCGTTTCCGACTGTGGGAGTGAATCTTCACTCGAATGGAGTGAATTTTCACTCTTTGGAATTTAGAGAGTACCCAGTGTTTGTTTGTATCTCCATAATTTCCATCAAAAGTTACTAATTGTGTTTTAATTACATTGGTAAGTCTGGCAGTCGGGGTGTCTATTTATGTGTGCGAGCCCGGACCTCAAACGTCAACACCCAAATATCAGGTGAGAAAGTTCTTCAAGATTTTTTTTTCTCAGAAAACTCCTCTTACAGATACCGGGCTTTTAGATTAGGTGGTTTTTTTTTGGGGGGGGGTATCATAGCTACTCTATTATTTACTACTTTATGGCAATGCCCGGCTATAGCCATGAAATAAATCATCAAATCATCTTTAAAACTATATCATGACCCTGTACATCTATTTATTACTTTATCTCTTATCAACTTGACAAGAAACAAATTCGGAATAAATTTGGAATTCCTATTCCGAATTTCCAGACCAGAATTTCTAGAGAATAATATGTTCTTCATAACACACGCTCATATACGATGATAAAAAGAAGCCACAACTAGAGTACAAAGCACGTTACCAACTGAAATATTAATTATATGTTTCGGTAAATTTATAAAGTAACAACAAATTGAACTTTACTGGCCGTAACACCTGTTAAAGAATAATTATCGGTATTCCCTCTTTGTTGTGTGCATGAAGGTCACCCACACTGCGCATCGATCAATTAAAATAGTTGCTTCGTTGGTTTAATTAGTGCATGGACCATGGTCAAGTACAGTAGAAAACAGTCACCGTGAACAGTATTGTGGGTTGGAGGACAATGAAGACCTTCTTTGGAGCAGGGGCAGGAAAAACAATGCATCCCTTCTTGAAGGAAATATGCCTACACCAGCCGTTTTTCATTCATAGAGCGATACATCATCTTTTTTATTTAATGTTTCCTTTAATTATTTTAAAAGTATACAGGAAACGTAGTGATGAGATTATGAGAAGAAATTAATTTGCTCCAAATGTGTGACGAAAAGAGTAGAGTTTGTGGTATTGGTGGCAGCAGTCAGTCTTTCCAACCATTTTTGGAGCCCAGACATATAAACGCACGTCTAGCCGCACGGTGTGTGTAAAGGGCGCCACCATGTGCCCAACCCCACCGAGCAGTACAGTTTATTGAATCCATACAGTAGCAGGATATCTCCATGTATACTAGTTTCTTTTCCACCCGTAAAATGTAAATATCCACAAAAAATATTCTTACTGTTGAATAAAGAATAAAAACAAGCACTCTGTCAATTAGATTTAGTATATTGAGTACAATTTAACAATATTTAATTATTTATTGTTGGTAAGTAATCAATGAAAATAAACAAAAGTAATAGCTTAGTCTGTGTGACGCGTGACGAGACCACCCAAAAATATCTGTCCTTTACCCTATAGATTCTGGGAGAATAAGGCTGCACACAGCACAACCGTGGCGTGATCGCGTGATTGGCTCGATAAGGTGGAAGAGATTAGGTGCCAGAAAGAGTCGAAATCATGCCTGAATTTACTCCATTTGGTGCCCTTAACCCAGCTCTTGCAACGCTCGGAGCTGTGGTTGCATTCTACGCCGTTTTTCGCCTGGTTACGTCCCTCCTGAACGGTCTGAAGGCATTCTTTCTGGCTGGACCGCTTGGGCTGAGTGCGAATGTGAAGAACTACGGAGATTGGGCAGGTAGGCGGGCCTGGGGACGGGGGGGGGGGGATTCTAGAGGGGGAAGTTTCTTGATGGGCACTATGATTTACCCACAAACATTAGTGGGGCTAATCATTGACTGGCTAATTATGATTGAAATGATTCACAACCAAACATTCATTCATAAAGTCTTTGAATTTATTTGGGGGGGGGGATTGTGGGCAGGCCTCTCCCACACTAGCCTAGCCTAGGCCTCCCCCTCCCCCTCAAAATTGGAGAGCTGAGACTGGGTAGAAATAGCCTTGAAAAAAATGTTGCAACCTGACGCCACTTCCGCCTGTCCGCGATGGTTTCAAAAGACGCAAAAATGTGTAAAAAGAGGGAGACCAGAAGGTGCACCACCTCACTCGTCACGCATCGCAACTCAATCTCTGCTCATTAATTAGCTTTTTTATCTCGCAAGGCGAAGGGCGTCCATGGCTTCAATATAAAGGATGTTTTCCTTTTTTTTGGTTTCAGCTGTTACAGGAGCTACAGATGGCATTGGCAAAGCGTACGCTGAGCAGGTAAATCAATCACAGCAACTATTCCTTCTGATGAAAAAAATTATAGGCTAGAGAAGTTTTAAACTAGGTTTAAGAGAACTCGGATCTAGGCCTATGTCCAGATGGTACTCAGCAATGTCTACTTCCAGATGGTGAGAGGAGACAATGAGAAGAAATTACAGTTTTAGAGGCGGGAAGAAAATCCCAGATGAATATTCTGGGGGAAAACCCACAGAATCAAATAAGGACTGAAAACCCAATTGGCCCAGGCAGGAATCGAACCCAGGTCACAGCGGTGGAAGGCTATAAGAAAGAACTGCTTCACTAACCTGACTCCCAGTGGCAAATTGTTGGCATGGGAATATAGGTATTTATATTGAAAACAAGTCATTTTTGAGCAAAATCTGGTGGAAAATAAATGAAAATTGCAACCCTCCTGGATCTTCCGACATCTACCGGGAGGTTTCTGCACAATTGAGGATGGTATAAAAACCAGTTAACTTACCTTGCATAATACGTGCTGCCCTTTGAAAAAGTGGAGTTGGATAAGCCAGTGGTAAAAATTCATGATGTCCGCGCCCACATGTATGCAAAATGTTTCTTACACAGCAGAAGATTTTGAAGCATTCAGGAAATTTCCTTGTGAAAATGTTCAGATTGATAATAAATAACTGTTTTGGAATTCAAATATTTGACCTTGTTGATTGTTTTGTAGCTGGCAGCGAAAGGATTGAACATCATATTACTCAGCCGATCGGAGGATAAGCTGAATAATGTTGCTGCAGAAATCGGTTAGTTTATCCATCTGGACCATTTTACCAAAATATTGTAACAATTTCATAGCGCTACTTCTAATCCAAAGCAGAAATATTGATCTGTTTTCCTGAGGTTTCTTGGTTCCTTCTGTCCCCGTACCCCAGAATCCAAGTACAGCGTGAAAACCAAGACTATCGCTGTGGACTTCACCGGTGGTGAAGAGATCTACACTAAAATCGCCAAGGAGGTCGCAGGTCTTAGTATCGGTGTCTTGGTCAACAACGTTGGGATATCTTACCGCTTCCCAGAGTACTTCCACGAGATCCCCGACCGACAAAAGGTTTGTTGTTTGCTCAGAGTGTAATTGTTAACACCCCAAGTATGGTATCATCCCAACTATGGGCTCCGTGCACAAGTACCCCCTCAACGGTAAGGAAGGGAGAGTTAGGGGAGACGACTGGCAGAGACATTCGAACACCGTTGATGCTCACGAGGAGACGCTGTGGCTTTGTGAACATTCAGAAAAAAATATTTGTGCGTACTTTGGGCCAAAGGCGCGCAAACCAGTACGCACACATGGTGTGTCCTGTCTACGAGCTCTCAAAGGTAGTAAATTAGCGCCCTCTATGTTGGTGCACGGAGCCCATAGCTGGGACCATCTGGTCATAAAGTAACCTTTCCAAGGTTTGAGAGACTCTTTCAAGATATTTCTTTCATGCTTTTTCTTTCCTTTTTTTTTTTTTCGTTGTAGATGCTGATGAATATGTTGAATCTGAACTGTATGTCCGTCACACAGGTAAGATGAACTAAATGAAATTACTTAAAATAAAAAAACATTTAACCTTCGACCTGTAGAAAACATGAACCTTTTTCAATCAACCCAATGGAATACCGAAGTGAATACGTCATGCGCACAAAAGTGTGTGAGAGAGACATTAGCGTGTGATTCAGCCTGTGAACCAACACGCGCGCGTACTCCATTTGTTTGCACTACACTTTCTGGTTCTTAATGACGTCACACTTCGGTACTTCATAGACCTAAGACATAATGATGTCACGCTTTGTTTACAAGTGTGCTTTCATATGGGAGGCAGGTGGGGAAGCCAGCCAATCGCGGGTCCCAAAGAAAAGCGTACATGTAACAAAGCGTGACGTCATTATGTCTTAGGTCTGTGAGTCAGTTCTTAGCCTGCAGTTATTCAATTTGTCAATGCTGTTTGTTTTGAGGCAATGCAGTACAAGATTGCGTGACATCATCATGTTTATTTTATTTCTTTGCAGATGACTTCGATTGTTCTTCCCGGAATGCTTGACAGGTAAACGCAGACTTCACTACTTACTTGTCAAGGTCTTGGACCGGACTTTGTGTTATTTACGCTCAGCCGTGCATAAATTTAGGCCTAGATTTATACTTGAAATCCTCCGCACTGCTCCAGGATGTCACTGGCTCTGCCTCAGCATATTGACAGTGATTGCTGGTTTTTTTTGCAGGATTGAGGCAGTGGTCACCCCTCCAAGGACCACATTCAAGAACTAACGGAGGATTTTGCAGGATTAAGGCTGTATGCAATTTTTACATGGAGGCAGGTGGAGGATTTCGCAGGATTGAATTTGCATCCTAACAAAAATACCTAGGGAGTTAGGGTTAACCCTAACGGATCTCAAGCCATCAAACCCCAACGGCATGTTTTGTTGGAATCTGTCAGGATGGGTACAGTACCCCTAAACTGACAGTCTTTTACATTGGGTTGGCACACCTCCAGAATCAAAGTCAGAAATATGTGTGTGCAGTTTCCCATATGGTGTTGGAACTTGCCAGGATGGGTATGGTTCCTTGAAGAAATTTCTAGGGAGTTGGGGTTAATCAATCACTCAATTTCTGTGTTAACAAACCCGAACGACACTTGATGCTTTATTTCAATGGTCTAGATCAAGGCAGTGTCTTATCTTCGTTACTTTGTCTCACATTAGGGGAATGTTAAGTTTGGTTAAAACAATCTTTTTTCGTTGGTTTGGCTTACAGGAAGAAAGGCATTGTGGTCAATGTGTCGTCTGCGTCCGGCATGCAACCAAGTCCATTACTGACGGTGTACTCTGCTACCAAGGTATATCGAGATACAACCTTGTTGCATGGAGCGTATTCCCGCGAGATACGACTTTGTTGCAGAATGGAGTTACGACCGTGTTGCACTGACGCGACGATATAAAGAGTCCTTTCATAATAATGTGGTGCTAATAGAGCGCTTTATACCAAAGGTCTCAAGGCGCTTCACAATTATTACCCCTGTTCATCAGGCCATGAGACCAGTTTTTGCAGCAGCTTGAGATCAGCGCAATCTGGTCTCTACCTTCACGGTGCAACAAGGTCGTATCTCCTAAAATGACATAAACGCAAAACGCAAGTTTTAGAATGTCAAAAGGTCGTATCTCGCTTAAAATAACCCGGATGTACACGCAAAGTCAATGGACGTCGAGATACGACGTTGTAGCACGGAGCGTATTCGCGCGAGATACGACTTTGTTGCAGAATGGAGTTACGACCTTGTTGCACTGACGCGACGATATAAAGAGTCCTATCATAATAATGTGGTGCTAATAGAGCGCTTTATACCAAAGGTCTCAAGGCGCTTCACAATTATTACCCCTGTTCATCAGGCCATGAGACCAGTTTTTGCAGCAGCTCGAGATCAGCGCATTCTAGTCTCTACCCTCACAGGTACCCATTTATACTCCTGGGTGGTGAGAGGCAATAGTAGTAAAGTAAGTGTCTTAACCAAGAACACAAGCACCAGCGCAATCTGGCCTCTACCCTCACAGGTACCCATTTGTGCTCCTGGGTGGCGAGAGGACAGTTGTAGTAAAGTGTCTTACCCAAGAACACAAGCACCATGTTCCCCATCATTGTTCGAGCCCACATACCACTACGGCATCACATGAGTCAAACATCTCATCCACTGTGAGTGATGATATTGTTCATCCTCTCCATTGCAGGCTTACGTTGATTACTTGACTCGAGCTTTGCAGACGGAATATGCCTCCAAGGGGATCATCTTCCAGGTAGGTCAAAGGTCACGTATCTCAGGGTTCAACCGTTGATCTCCATTAGTAAGACTGGATAGGACACAGCGCCCTCCATCTTGTGCACGCACGCGTAGTCATCGGTGAGGGTTTGAAAGTTTGAAATGCGTTCGTCACACAGACCATGCAGCACGCGCATGTTACGCGTGCGCAGTCGCAGACGTTAAACCTGCACTGTACTACCCAGCTGTTTGTGTCCGCGTTTTCCGAATCTTCACTGCGGGCAAGTACACGCGTGTCTTATCCAGTGTCATATCCCGTCTTACTAATGGAGATCAATGGGTTCAACAGTCAGGAAATGCGGGAAAGTTTCAGAACTTGGAAGGAAATGTTGGAAAAGCAAATTTTTATAATTTTCTTCACTTTTAGATGACGACAGGCAGAGCTTTCCTTGTATCTTAAATGTTAGTGGTCGCAGTGTGCTGTGACATTTTTAAGAGCTATACAGAAAGCATGTGTGATGATATTACACATGTAATGGCTACCGGGAGCGTCGATGTAATTTCAAAATCAGATTGGTGTTTATCGGAGGCCAAGTTTATTCTGTAGTCTCCTGATTCCTGTTTTCTGTTTTTTGAATCAATTAGTCCGTCCTGCCATTCTTCGTTTCCACAAAGATGAGCAAGATTCGACGTTCCTCGATCACCATTCCGACGCCGACAGCGTTCGTCCGTAGCGCCCTGGCTACTCTCGGCATTGAGGATAGGACCAACGGATGCCTGTCACATTCTATACAGGTATTTATAGGTTGTGGGTTGCCTAAAAAAATTTTTTTTAATTAAGTCATTGAATGAAATATTGGTTGTGGGTTGCCCCAAAAATTTAAATTTAGCCATTGACTGAAATATAGGTGGTGGGGTTGTACATTTTGATGAGGCCTGAAATTCAGTGGCATATCCCGAGGGGGGGGGGGGGTTAGAAGGGTGCCATTTTCCCCTCCCTCTCCCCACCCCTGTCTTCCTTCCCTGGTCCAACCCTTCTCCTCCCCGGCATAAAATGCTGGATACGCTACTGCTGAAATTCTGAAGCTTTCAAAACGAAGCGAGCATGTTTTTTTTGTGTTGATCTGTTTGTGTTCATCTAGGGTTGGGCAGTTGACGTTGCCCCTGAATGGCTGGTGAACAAAGTCTTGGTGTCCACGTTTCTTGACTACCGCAAGAGATCCCTCCAGCAGCTTGAGCAGAAAAAGGACAAATAGACATTCCTGAAACTCTCAGTTTTTAAAGGATGGTTGTGTGGACATTTTGTACTTTCAGATGCTCATCATTTCATTTGAAATGCTTTTTGTAGCCCAAATAGGCGCATTCATGACGTAGTGTCCTTTTTAAGTCATTGAATATCATTCCTATTGCTAAGATGTGTGGTGTGGTCTAAATGATTTCTAATTAAATTACAAATTCAAGCAGCTCAATTTTGCAGATGTGAATTTTAATCAACAGCAGTAGTGTATGCAAAATCATTTTGTGTGAGGAATCTTGTAGGTCTTGATTTGTGATGCCTGAAAATCGGTGGCATGTCTGCAGGGGGGGGGGGGAGCCATTTACCCCCCCCCCCCACCCCTCTCCTCCTCTCCCGGCATAAAACGCTACTGCTGAAATTCTGAAGGTTACAGACCAGTAAATAAACGTCCATAGACCCCAATGGTAAATGCTCCCACTTGAGAAATTCGGGAAAAATACTCGCAACTCTCCAAGGTGTTCGAGACACACATCAAATTAAAGCTTATTTCATCATCTTTCATTTTCTTTTCAATTTTTGGGGGGTCAACTGATGACTTTTTGGAGAAATTTCCATCCGAAGATGATCATTCCTGAAAATAGTTCTGAAGCCCATCGCCATTTTGAAAAAACGATACCTACACTCCATTGCAAAATAGAGCGCTTTAAGGGCCCCAATTTCATCCAAATTGAACGAAACTACAAGCTCACAGTCCTGTGCACGGCTTCCACCCATATTTTTTACAAACCCTCAAGTTCATGGCCCACAGCATGCTCAAATACTGAAGATTTTGAGGGCATGCAAATCGTGATTTGGCCGGCATAGGCAATTTCGGACTGATTTACTGGTCTGCAACCTGCAGCTTTCAAAACAAAACGAGCATGTTTTTTTGTATTCATCTGTTTGTGTTCATCCAGGGTTGGGTCGTTGACGTTGCTCCAGCGTGGCTGGTGAACAAAGTCACGGTGTCCATGCATCTGGGCATCCGCAAGAGCGCCCTCCGGAGGCTGGAGCAGAAAAAGGTCAATTAGACATTCCTGAAACTCTGGCCTCATCTGCAGATTTGGAGACTCCTGGGGTCCATTGCCTACTTCAGGGACATCAGATCTTACAAAATGAGGCTTAAGTATAGAGTACATTATTTCCATTTGATATGGGAATTTAAAAGTTTCTGAATGATTCTTAAGCAAAGATTGAAACTGGAAACGAAGCCATGATTTCAAAAATGTCCATATACTCTGACTTATGCAGTGTCTATAGGTATATAGGTATACAGCACTGGCATTGTAAACTTGTATCACTTCACAATTGTCCACGTAAATGTATAGGATTTGTTCAAGTAACTTTGAGTGGTCAAATTCTGGCTAGAACGATAATGTCAATGATTTCCATTGTTTGGCAGTGAATGTTTTTTTTTTAAATAATAATTTTGAAGATTTAACACATGACTTTCAAGAAGTGAACGTGCTAGTTGTGCACAGATGCACTTTTCAAAAAACAGCCAAAGAAATTGTACAAATTATCTTTGTAACGTGATTGGTTGAATTAATTTTGGTGGGAAATACCTTGATCGAGTCGTGCTTAAGCTGGTAATTATGTTTATCATGCTTGTCGATCTATGTAAGTGTGTTTTCTTTTTAAAAAGTTGATTGTTTTATGCCAATTTTAAAATTACTGGATCATCAGCAAAAGTGTTTGTATAATTTTTTCATGTTTATATCGAGAGGATTTTTCAGGGTTCGTTTCATTCATGAAAATATTGAAAAATTGCAACAGCTAATAAAATGGTTATGTTCAGCAAACTAGTGTCCGGTGAAAAAATGTAAATGATTTCTAAATGTTTAAAATGACGCTTCAATCTGCATATTTGTGAGGCGTTCTGGCAAAATGAGGCGAAATAATTTTCATATTTATTAATATTTGTGATCTTTGATACGACTACTGAACGTTTTAAAGAAAGAGTATAAAAAACTATGGAATAAAAATGTTTTTAAGGGAAAACGTGTTGCATTTTTCATTTTCACGAACACACAACTCAAAACTTTACTGGCCCTTTTGCTCAGTATAATACTGTCTTGACGTGTCAACTGGTGATTATTGTGAACTTTAAACAGCATAATTTGTCAACGAAATGTCCGATTGAAGTGCAACAAACGGTGGTGTAAGGAGACTTCCATTCTCTTTTCTAGAACCCACAGAAGCTCATTTCAACCTCTGCCCAGTTCTGTCTCATTTTGCCAAATTGCCGCACATTTTGCATATTATGAATATTTTAATGTTTCTAAAAAGTGGTGCCATCAGATTCATTCCAAAGACATCCACAGCCAGTTGAATTAAGATGTTTGCATCAGTTTTGCGTCCATAATTGCAAGGCATTGTTATTTTATACTCGTATTGTCAATTGAAAGCTTTGTAATATTTAGGATTTGTTGAAATTGAGTGAAAGTTGTTAATAAACATAATTTTCAAATTCGCAATATTTGTATCGAAGCCATATTTCTTATTAAATTAAGGCACAGACAAAAGTGGAAATCAAGGAAAAAATTGTCGATTTTTTATTCACTTACATGGTATTTTTATTTCACATTCAACTATATCCTTCTCAAAGGGGATTTGTTACATAAGTAGAATCCGTACAAAAAAAGTAAAATTCTATATCTGTACAATAACGACCATCCTGACAAGTTATTATTTTCACATCCAATGATTTGCGTAAAATTTCCAAGTTACATTATTGCTAAAATATGAACCTGTTTAAAATTCATTCTCTAACCCTAAGTAGTCCAAATCACTGCAAATCTTAAATGTGGCCTCACTTTAAATTTAATTTAAAACCTGCAAAGTAAAAAGCAAAGAAATGCAAAGTGTTCCATAAAATTCATCGGACCATTTGACTACAAAACAGGACAGATTGCACTAGAATTCTGGGCAAACGTCGCACACATAAACAAGCAACCAAACCACTATGATTGCATAAACAAAGCTGCCTCAAAAATCAATCTTTTGTAAGTATTTGATAGTACATGTATTTGAATGCCTAATAATGTTTGGCCCCATTTAAAACTTAATATTCACCTAAAAATTGTTCCTTTAATGTGACTCAAAGAATACCACAAAAAAAATCAAGCTGTATTAAACTGCCCTGTAAACTTTAAAAAATACACAAAAATACATTTGATTTCAATACGTTATTACCGACTTTGATTTTTTTCTTGGGTATACAACTGTAGGATTGTCGCTATGAAAGCGCGAGTCCTTTTGAAGCGCGCCGACGCCTCTTGGCCATCGCTTGTCTCCTGAGGGCGCTGTTGATGATGCTAACGCTCCACATCCACATACTTTCTGGTAGTTGACTAGAAAACCACATCTGAAGAAGGAAATTAATGTCAAAGGATAACCATTATTACCTCTACTCACATACCCAACTAGAAGTTTGTCAGAAAATTATTTTCTTATTTTTGCCGCATTGTTTTTAAAGGTCACTGGCACTTTGAAATGAAATCGCAAAATCACGCCAAAATACATTTCTCTGCTAACTTTGTAACGGCTAGGTAAACTCAAGATTTATGAAAGGGAATGTTAGGAGCCTGACAAAATTTCACTGTTAAGTAAAACTTTTGTTCTAGCAAGTCGCTAGAGGCGAAAAATCAAAGTGCGCAACATTAGGGGCCGTGCCACGTCGGGGGACATCCACAATTCTATTTTTACAAGTAACTCACTGAAACGCAGCCTACAATATAAAAGACCTTTATCACACTGCCACCATTTTAGTCATGTTCCCTATATCCAATAACAGTACTGAATGATAATGTTTTTGTGCAAAAAGGAACCAGACTATTTTCCCCTCCACCCTCGCTTTGGTTACATTCGTTTGAATGGGGAAAAATCAAATGGCTGCAACATGATAATGGTCTATTTTTACCAGAAACGTGTGAGGCCAGTAGCCAGTCGTCTGTGTGGATCGGCCCAGCGTAGACACAGCGTGCTTAGCGTACAGGTAAGCCGATGGAATCATTAGGCTGGACTGATGCGGACCGTCCTTAAAATCTGTCATCTTTGTTGCCACATAGGAAGGCATCAGGCTCTGTATGAAGATGCCCTTAGTCTTGTATTCATATTGCAGGGCCCTGGTGAAATAATCCAGGTAAGTCTGGCAGGGAGGAACATGGGTAAAAATACACTGCATGTTAGTCCATGTACAAGTGTTATACTAAATGGCAAGTGAAGATGCCTTTGATCTTATGCATTCATATTGCAGGGCCCTGGTGAAATAATCCAGGTAAGTCTGACAGGGAGGAACATGGATACAAATACACTGCATTTTAATCCATGTACAAGTGTTATACTAAATGGCAAGTGGAGATGCCCTTGGCCTTATGTATTCATATTGCAGGGCCTTGGTGAAATAATCCAGGTACCGGTATGTCTGGCAGGGAGTAACATGGATAAAGAAAAACATTGTATTTAACCCATGTAAAACTTGGTACTGGGTGAAGATGCGCTTGGTCTTGTATTCATACTGCAGGGCCCCATTGGAGCATCTTTGGTTTGGGGGCTAGTTTTACTATACCACCCAAAGAGTCAATATTTGTAAACTATGACATGAGGTATATATATTTACCTTGCATGCATGATACACAGCCAGCTGTGGGTTGGGGTGGATAGATGCAGCTGCTGATATATTGACCACAGCTCCTCGCTTTCTCTCCACCATCTGCGGCATCAGGATTTTAGTCATCTGAAAAACAGTTTACACAATAGTTCCACATTTTAAATTTTTTTCCTGCTGAAGGTCGGCACACCGCATTCCGAGGCCAACTGTGCCACCCATTATGAAAAGCCCCCTTCTAAACATTACATCCCTGCCATTAATCCAACCCAACATTACAAGCCCCGCCCACTGATAGGTTCCACGAACGATCATGACTAGCCACACCCACTAATATGCCCCTCAGTTGATTACAAGCCCTGCCCACTTAAAATACCAAAATAGCCCTTCCCATTACGAGCCCCGCCCACAGATACGTTCCACTACCTGTCATTACTAGCCGCATCCACTTATATGCCCCTCCCATCATTACAAGCCCTGCCCACTACAAGCCCCACCCACTTACCAAAGTAGCCGCTCCTATATTAATATTTATCAGCTGCCAAAGTCTTTCAGATTTCATGTTGAGGAAGTACTGCGGTATATCCATGGCACCAACATTGTTCACTGTAAAAAGTGGAAAGATCAATCACAATTGTACATTTGGATTTATCTCAGGATCCACTTAAAGTTCGACTGAAAATGGCCCCTTGAATTGGACGAAGCTTATTTATAGAAAATCCAGTTGGAAGATGTAAAATTACCCAGAATTCCTATCTGTAGACCCTGCATCTGTCGTTCGATATCATCGTAGATTTCACCTCCTTGACTGAAGTCCGCCTGTATCGTTTTGGTCTTTATGTTGAAGTTTGTTTCTGCGGGGGAAAAAACATGAAAGCATTTGGAGCCAAGCTTTTTGACGCGCCCGGGCAAAGAAGGTAGCGCAACGGACCAACGCTGACTTTGCAGTTGAGCGAGTGAGTAGGTAAAGCTCAATGGTTAAAGGGAATATACATCATTTGCTTTTGCTGTAATTTTCAGAAATGGATGGAATTGGGGGATAGGAAATATATAGCAAATATAGTTACACTGACTTTTTTGAGGTTTTGGGTTCGAAAATGCTATAAAAACCAAGAAAAACGATCATTTTCCTGTAGTCTGGTTCCCTGACTCCATATAAGAAGAAACAGAGCAGTTTACATACATTGGGGAATTGTAAGGTCAGGGAACCAGTCTAGCTGGCTCGTACCCGTTCATAGGTTTGTAATCGATTGCAAACAAGTGCGATGGTCAATTGGGGCCAGTATTTGAAAAAAAGCCAGTTGTTTCCAACGCTGATCGGCCGATCAGCGTTGGAAATTGATACAAAAATACCACTTTTCTTGAAAATGACAGTATACCAGGTGCCATGATTTTACAGGATGCTTTACACTGTCATTCACTAACAGTCCAGCAAAGTATTTCAAAATGATTTGGTAGTTTTATTTTTTGATGTTTGCAAATGTTGTATTTTCTCTTTAAGTCTTATTCTCCGTTACTAGCTTACCCAGATCCTTGGCCACCTTCTTAAGCTTGTCCGCTGAGCGGCTGATCAGTATAATGTTCACTCCATGGCTTGCTAGAGCCTGGGCGTAGGCTTTGCCAATGCCGTCCGTTGACCCTGTAACAACTGTAGAAAAAAGAAATCACAAGCATTCACAGAATGATAATACATGTGTAAATGAGGCCCCCTCATTTATAGATCACAACCCCCCCCCCCCCCATTCTCTTTTTGTACATTAAACAAATTTAATCAACAGGTCTCTTTCACACTTAAAGTTAAATCTTTGCTCTACCGTGGGAACCCCTACTTGAAAGTGGACTGACCCCTGAGCCCAGAGGATGCAGTGGTTTGGGGTGGTGTGGCCTAACATGCCTTAGTGCTATTTTCCCCACCAACTAAGCCGCTGTTTCTTCTGTTCCCTCTCCATTTCAGGTAGGAAAAGTTACTTTTATTTACATCTTATCCTTAGTTTTCACATACAAACAGAAGTGGAAATTGTATAGATTAATATAGATGTTAGTTTGTTTGACTTTGATTTCAGGAAGTATTGTTTTATTGTAGTTAAACTTGGAGAAAGTTAGTGACTTTCATAGATATTTCCACTATGTGAAACAATGGTTGCACTGGTCCAAAATTGGCCTTATTCTGGATCAGAGTAGACTTTTTATTCTTTATTTTTTGTTTTACTGAAGTCAACTGTGATCAAGTAGCTAGAGTTAATGAAAGTTCATACTTCATAGATTTGATTGACATTGTAGTTTGATTTGACTTTTCCAACCTGTATAGTATTTTTAGGGAGAAAAGTCGCCTTTATATTTTAGTTTTCTGAGACAGTGCCTTTTCACTGTACAGTGAAGGGTATACTCAGACAGCATGGTCCGAGCCCTGGGTGGACATTCCTTTAGCCATATGGTAGGGTAATTAACTCCATGCCCTGGGGGCTGGTCAGTAGAAGCTGAGGACTAGGCTAGCCTTTGTTTATGTCTCCTAACATAACAAACCCCTTTTATTTCGTTATCAGAGGCAAGTGCCAGGTTATCAGAGGTTCTAGAGTCCAGACTTCTCGTTTCATAGGAAAGACTATTGTTTATTCTCCTGAGCTAGGCTGAAACTGTCTTCTTAGATTGTTATGTTTTTCTTTATTTTGGTTTAAGTGTAGATAAAGTGGCTGGAGAGAGTGCCACATTTGCCCTCCCCCCTCCTTCTTGTCATTATAATAGTTTGTTTTGGTTATTTAGCCAAGTTCTGACTTGATAAGGGACTGTGCAGTTCTGAGTCAAAAAGAGCTAATAAATATTATCTTGTTTATAGGCCTATTTGATGTAGAGTAATGGCTTAAGCAAATGCCTTGGATTTATCCTGTTAAGTGTTTCTTTATGAATGTAAAGTTTCATTTCTCACTTTTATTGAGACTGGATATTTGGTAATAGTTGTGTTTCCAATCAACACCGAGTTTTTTTAGTTTTTGCTTTATGTAGTCGGCTCGATCAGGATAAGTTTCAATTGTTAGGAATTTTCTTCTTAGTTTTAGTTCTTCATAACACCTAAGTTTATCCTACAGTTTTGCTTTATCAGGATTATATTAACCATGTAGTTAATGTAAACTCTTTTGATTTAGATATGTTTGGTTTAATAAATTAGTGCTATTTTTCCCACCAACTAAGCCGCTGTTTCTTCTGTTCCCTCTCCATTTCAGTCGGTTATAAAGAACAAGAGTCACCATCCTTTACACATGTACTGATCATTGAATCCCACCCGAAAGTGGGTAACACACATCATAATGTGCAACAGTCTATAAAGAGTCAAGTGCATTTTCAAAGTATTTTCTAACACAATTGGATTGGAAATGTTTAATCTTAGTCTCAGATTCATGTCTTTTCAACATTTCTGCAAAGTGCAAGGGATGACTGATTATGATGAAGAAAAAAGTGGAGTCGAGGTCCATGCATATGACGTCATCAGAGGCTCTAAAGAGATGCACAAATTGACCTCACTGAGGTCAAATCGCCATAACTTAGTGTAGGCATACTGTGGGAAAACGGCCGTGCATAACCTCAATTTCATCATGTACAACTAGGCCTAAGTGAAGTGTAACTTGTTAGTGTTAACCTTTTTAAACAATTTTAACGTTCATGACAATTGAGGGTGCAGAAAATGTCAAAGTTTTGTAAACAAAAAAATTATCAAGAAAAACTTCCAATCACCTCCCACTCCAAGAACGTTCCCCAGCCCCGCCCACAACTTAACTCTTCTTAAAATACCCGAGCGCCCTCTATCGCCTTTACCTGCCCACTTCCCGAATTCTCCGACCAGATCCCGATTTCTGCCTGGCAATCGCGGCCAGAAATGTATCCTGACGACCTCTTCGACTTGAAGCAACGTCTTCAAGGCCTTCTGCAGGACAAAATACGCCCCTGCGATGGTCAAGACTTCGTTGTAAATCTGAAACGAACGTGAGACTTCATGCAGCAGAAAACGCACGCTGTCTACTGCGACCGCCATATTTAGATCTTCTGTGTTAAATGTTTTGATTGTTTGACTCGACTAGACTTGTTTAAGTCACTTGGGCACGCAAATGAATGCCAACAAATCCGCTTAGAAATATATTGGAAAAACTGATTTAATAAAATAAAAGGTATCGAACATGTACAGTCTACAGAGGTAGCTCGAAAATTATTACGTAGTTAATATTAATTGTTTGTCCAGCGTGTTTTTTTTTCATTTTCCAAAATTATTGTTAAAGGGAATATACATCATTGGCTTTTGCTGTAATTTTCAGAAATGGATGGAATTGGGGGGTTGGAAATATATAGCAAATATAGTTACACTGACTTTTTTGAGGTTTTGGGTTCGAAAATGCTATAAAAACCAAGAAAAACAATCATTTTCCTGTAGTCTGGTTCCCTGACTCCATATAAGAAGAAACAGAGCAGTTTACATACATTGGGAAATTGTAAGGTCAGGGAACCAGTCTAGCTGGCTTGTACCCCCGTTCATAGGTGTGTAATCGATTGCAAACAAGAAAAAAAAAGAAGATTGCAAACAAGGGCCTGTATTTGAAAAAAAAGCCATTTTTTTTCCAACGCTGGTCGGCCGACCACAAAAAATACCACTTTTCTTGAAAATGACAGTTCACCAGGTGCCATGATTTTACAGGATGCTTTACACTGTCATTCACTAACAGTCCCGCCAGCAAGGTATTTCAAAATGATTTGGTAGTTTTATTTTTTGATGTTTGCAAATGTTTTTTCCCTTTAAGACAAGATAAGTTTGCGGTAGCACCATGTGAATAAATCTCTTTTGTGAGTATTTGTGGTTCTCTGCCCGTCGCCAGGAGAATGAGGGATTCAAACGATGATGCGATGTATAAAATTATTGTTGAAACATATGTTACAATAATAAATAATTCTTAAAATTAATGTGGCCTGACGTTGCGAACTTAGCAAGTTCTTCTTCAGAGGCTAAAACAGAAATGACAGAGGTACATACATTTACATGGGGGTGCACACAAACATGCAGGGCTGAAAGAAGAAACACAAAAGGAGGATTAGGTGCGAAAGGTGTGGAAAGATGCAGGGGAGGGTGGATGAGAGAACAAAGAAACAAAGGGAGATGGCAAACCACAAGGGGTCTTGCGTAAACAGGGGAGGGACCAGAAAGGGGAAGGATCAAAGGTCACAGGGAGTGGGAACGGACAAAAGAGTATGAGAGTGAAGGGATGATGTGGGGGGGGGGACAGTATTGAGGTGGAAAGGGATGAAAGATGGGGGAAGAAAATGCGTAAACTGTCTTAGGTATTTATGAATGTCTGTTTAAATTGACTTGACAATAGTATAAACAAAATAAGTACACATTTTCCACGAATAAAAATATTGTCTGGTACATTTTAGTGATCTAATGTCGACTTTGGACTTGGAAATGTCTTTATGGCATGTTATGTGCCCGATACGAGATTATGTTTCAACAAGGAACATCCCCGTGGACGCAATGGATCCGTCCATAACTGTGCCGTGCGCATTATGCAAATTGCCTAGTAATTCAATCTGCATGGGGTGTGTCTATTGTGTACGTACACGGACACCGTATCTACGTGTTTTTATTGGGGCAAGTTTCCTGCTACGCACAGTACGTGCGCGGAATCTGAATGAGAATACATAATACAGATATTATGCTTATTAACAAACACTGCCATTGGTTGTGCAGTGACGCAGAGAGGAAGGTTTTATTATTCATAATCCCTGTAGTTTTCATGCCGTGTGCAACAGCCCCATACATAGACTTGTGCGTCGTAGTATGTGCACATTAGCAAAAATGGCCTCTATCCGCGTACTCGATTTTCGTGCCGTGTGCACCGTTTACTTGCTTGTAGTGTTCGGGATTTTCGGCCGACTCCACGTGCTCGGAGTCGGTGAAGATTCCGCCGATGGAACCCACGACGAACACGGTCATTCGGAATCCGTCTTCGGAGACCCTTTTGAGGAGATTTTGGGCCGGTTGAAGGAGGTTTCTCTGGGTGTGGACAGGAACATTACGCGCGATGAGACGAGCGCCATTATTCAGTCATTGTTTGAGGAACGGATGCAGTGTAGCGTCAGTTTCAACCGGACAAATTGCCAGAAGGTAGGCAGTTATACATGCGCTCCGTAACATCTTGAACGACCTTAAAGGTAGAGTCCATCATTTGCAGCCATCCGAAAAGTAACTGGCGTAATTATTGTTGAAAAACTAACTTGGTTGAAAGATAGTAAGGAGACTAAACTCCCTGTGAAATTATTCTTTCTGGGAAGCTGTCATTTTGAAGTAATCAACGAAAGAAGGCATTTCCAACGGTGATTCTTAAGAAGCACCGTAGGAAAATTTAAATTAGTAGTTCGTTTTGTTATTCAGCGCAGCGCGCACAAGTATTCGAACGACGCACACGCGCGCGCGGTTGTTATAATTCGTCGGATCAGTGCGCGACGTCGCGTATAGTTGCAATTCAAAACAATTCAAAACATGATTCAGCAACTTTTGATTTGAAATTGAGATCTTAGAATGCTGTTTTTCTCGGAATGTACAGCTGAAGCTTAGCTGAAACTTCATCAGGTTAGTTGCTCAGTATCCTTCATTAGATTTTGAACTCTTTTGTTGCTTCAAACGAACAAAATGCACAAATTACAAATGATGGACTCTACCTTTAAATAAAATATAAAATTAATAAATCATTTTATTTTACTGTGAAAACAATCAAAAGAAGAGTCAGTTTATGTTGTGAATGTTAACTTTTTTTCCACCCTTGATCCACAGTTTGATTTGGTTGGTTGGTAATTATTAGACCACAAGTCGTGGCCGCGCCCGAACTTCCCGAAGGCCCGGTGTCGTGCCAAAAACCGTCCGGTGCCAAATAGTGTCCGCTAATTAGCATAATGCGATCTGATTGGTCATGCGTCTATGACGTCACATTGTTTACGGACGCTTGCCAAATAGTGTCCGCGCTTAGCGTGCATCCTATTGCGTGCCTTGTCGAGCTGTCAATACTCGTATAGAAAAGATCTCTTTTCACCTGAATTTGCTTTTTACAATCTGTTCTAACGTTTTCCTTGTTATCTGTGATAACTATCTGACTTGGTTTCCCTAATATTATATTTGTGCAAAATGTTTGTGTGTTTTTTCGCGTCAGTTCACCTGTTTGGCATGCAGTACGTACGTAGGCCTAACGCCGTGTGAAGTGTGTGTAGTACGTACTGTGCTGTGTGTAGCATTATAACCAACGTTATATTTTACGGTTTTTCCCACCTAATACTGTCCGATTTTCCCGCCAAATATTGTCCGATTTTTCCTGCCAAACTGTCCGATTCCTCCTGCCAAATATTGTCCGATTCCGCCCTGCCAAATACTGTCCAATTTTTCCAGCCGAATACTGTCCGATTTTTCCTGCTAAACAGTGTCCGATTCCCCCTGCCAAATAGTGTCCGATTTCCCTGCGAAAAAAATGTCCGATTTTTCCTGCTAAATACTGTCCGATTCCCCCTGCCAAATATTGTCTGATTCCCCCGCTACTGAATATTGTCCGATTTTTCCTGCCAACAAATACTGTCCGATTCCCCGCCCTGCCAAATATTGTCCGATTCCCCCTTGCAAAATACTGTACGATTTTTTCTGCAAAATACTGTCCGATTTTTTCTGCAAAATACTGTCCGGCAGGACGTACGTACGTGCGCCCTTCAAGTTGCTCTGGCTCGATCGACGGCGCCCGGACACTATTTGGCACCGGACACTATTTGGCATGTATTACATGCCAAATAGTGTCTGGCGCCTATTGCGCATGCTCAGCGGACACTATTTGGCACCGGACGGTTTTTGGCACGACACCGGAATTGGACTCGATGTGTAAAAAAAAAAGTTAAAAAAATCCACAAGTAAAAAATCCAAATCCCAAAATCCAACCCAAAAAATCAAAAAGTCAAGTTTGCTTACAACAATTTAAAAGTCAATCGTATAATTTTTAAAGTCATTTACATGAACAGTATTTATACTTTCATCGATCATCATAACACGGCCAAGTAGAACATTTTGGTCGAGATATTAACTTTGAAACATTTTATTTCATGAATTAAACAATGTAAGGTAATTGTAATGCGTAAAGAAAACTCAAGATTTGAAAGGTTAAGAGGTTGATTTTACGGGCTCATGTGATTTCTGTTTTGTTTTTCAATTCATCAGTAAAAAAAAACCGCCAACGCGGTGTCCGTACGTCGGCCGTGTGTGCGATTAGGCCTAGCCCATATTGCCAATTTACTGTACTACCTCCGTAAATAAAGGCCACACTTGGAACATGTACCCGAAAATGTCACGACTCTGTCATGTTTTTATTTTTACATTTAGACTTTGTTTGTAGTTTATTTATGCTTTAGAAGCACACTCACCCTCTTTAAAGCGATATAGAAAATTAGTCCCTCCTTTTTCAGACGTCTATAATTATTTGGTGTAATTTCCAGGTTCATTTTGCACAATAAATACTACAAACAAAGTTTAAATGTGAAAATAAAAACTTGACAAAGTTCTACATTTTCGGGTACATGTTCCAAGTGTGGCCTTTATTTACGGAGCCTAATCCAGTACTTGGCCGCATTTATGGGGCTAGATTAGGCCTACATCATTACGTACTTTTGCTTTCACAGACGCATTTCCGCCAAAACCAACTCAGTTACAAACAGGAATGGAAAGAGAAACAACCATACTGGGTTGCATTTTCGAAATACAAATTAAAATTAAAAAAAAAAGCAATATAATGAAAATATAATCACAGTCACTGCTGATTCAATTGCTGTCGTAGGGTCGAATATGTGAAATTTATATGAAAGACAGCTGATTACGCAAACTGCTTCGATCGATTTATTAACGCAAATAAAAGTTGCGTCATAACTGGTCGAATGATCGCCTGATCGAAAAGTAAACAAGTATTATCTAAAAGCGCAGATTAGTTAAAAAGGGAAAGAATGTCATTGTATTCTGATGAAGTATGACGTAATTTGTTTCATAATTATCTCAATGAAGGTGTCACTTGTGCAAAAAAAATTGAAAAGACATGAACCATGGAGCGAGAAACGTTTCCAATGTTCTTAGAAAATATACTTTGAAAATGCACGTACGCAATAGGATGCACGCTTAGCGCGGACACTATTTGGCAAGCTTCAGTAAACAATGTGACGTCATGGGCGCATGGCCAATCAGAGCGCATTATGCTAATTAGCGGACACTATTTGGCACCGGACGGTTTTTGGCACGACACTTGTCCCATTTTGTACACAACCAAAGAAGTGGCGTCTGGATTCTACATTCTCCCAAAACGAGAAACATGCATGTGATAAGCTCGGAACATGTTCGAAGCGAGATCTCTATTATAATATGAAACTCTGTACCCAAAGTTTCCAAATGGTACAGCCGTCAGCCGCTCGAAAACATGAACAAGCGCATGCATGTTTTCAATTGGAAATCAAACAGGAAGCTATTTTAACGGTTCCAATGCTATAACTTCTGGGTTTTATTCCCGAGTACAAAATAATACCGTCAACTTTTACAATTGAAAGTCCTTCAGAGTAATTGCCTCTCACGTTTCATTATTTATACTGATTGGAAATGGACTTCAGTTCAGGGTTACTCATGACGTATGCGCGGCGGAAATTGAGATTTGAAAGGTTAAGAGGTTGATTTTACGGGCTCATGTGATTTCTGTTTTGTTTTTCAATTCATCAGTAAAAAAAAAACCGCCAACGCGGTGTCCGTACGTCGGCCGTGTGTGCGATTAGGCCTAGCCCATATTGCCAATTTACTGTACTACCTCCGTAAATAAAGGCCACACTTGGAACATGTACCCGAAAATGTCACGACTCTGTCATGTTTTTATTTTTACATTTAGACTTTGTTTGTAGTTTATTTATGCTTTAGAAGCACACTCACCCTCTTTAAAGCGATATAGAAAATTAGTCCCTCCTTTTTCAGACGTCTATAATTATTTGGTGTAATTTCCAGGTTCATTTTGCACAATAAATACTACAAACAAAGTTTAAATGTGAAAATAAAAACTTGACAAAGTTCTACATTTTCGGGTACATGTTCCAAGTGTGGCCTTTATTTACGGAGCCTAATCCAGTACTTGGCCGCATTTATGGGGCTAGATTAGGCCTACATCATTACGTACTTTTGCTTTCACAGACGCATTTCCGCCAAAACCAACTCAGTTACAAACAGGAATGGAAAGAGAAACAACCATACTGGGTTGCATTTTCGAAATACAAATTAAAAATTAAAAAAAAAGCAATATAATGAAAATATAATCACAGTCACTGCTGATTCAATTGCTGTCGTAGGGTCGAATATGTGAAATTTATATGAAAGACAGCTGATTACGCAAACTGCTTCGATCGATTTATTAACGCAAATAAAAGTTGCGTCATAACTGGTCGAATGATCGCCTGATCGAAAAGTAAACAAGTATTATCTAAAAGCGCAGATTAGTTAAAAAGGGAAAGAATGTCATTGTATTCTGATGAAGTATGACGTAATTTGTTTCATAATTATCTCAATGAAGGTGTCACTTGTGCAAAAAAAATTGAAAAGACATGAACCATGGAGCGAGAAACGTTTCCAATGTTCTTAGAAAATATACTTTGAAAATGCACGTACGCAATAGGATGCACGCTTAGCGCGGACACTATTTGGCAAGCTTCAGTAAACAATGTGACGTCATGGGCGCATGGCCAATCAGAGCGCATTATGCTAATTAGCGGACACTATTTGGCACCGGACGGTTTTTGGCACGACACTTGTCCCATTTTGTACACAACCAAAGAAGTGGCGTCTGGATTCTACATTCTCCCAAAACGAGAAACATGCATGTGATAAGCTCGGAACATGTTCGAAGCGAGATCTCTATTATAATATGAAACTCTGTACCCAAAGTTTCCAAATGGTACGGCCGTCAGCCGCTCGAAAACATGAACAAGCGCATGCATGTTTTCAATTGGAAATCAAACAGGAAGCTATTTTAACGGTTCCAATGCTATAACTTCTGGGTTTTATTCCCGAGTACAAAATAATACCGTCAACTTTTACAATTGAAAGTCCTTCAGAGTAATTGC